GGACACGTTGCAGGATTTGGGTAGCGGCAGCCTGGTGACGATGATTCTATTTACACCACCATGTAGGGGGCTGTTTCTAGGCAGCGGTTTCGTACCAGCTATTACGTGAACTATGTGTGGAGTAGAAGCCCACTTGTAGAAATACATTTTAGAGGGCGTCCAACGCTTCCGTGGGATGGACATGGGGTGGGGGAGGGAATATAAGGAGGTAAATATACCAACGCCGACCCATGGGAAAGTCGATGGCTGATGTTGTGAGAGCAACATCACCGGCCGAACAGATCACTTAGGTTGATATGGCCTTCTGTAAAGAAAGTCAGTCGAGTTATGTTACCTTCGTGGGCTGTCCTAGCAGGAGGAGATCACCAACGTGCCGCTTCGCAGCCCAACAGTTAGGAGCTTTTCGGGCCAGAATCGGGGGATGCTTTGGGGAGGGCATTAAGAGCTTTAAGATCGAAGGCTCGCTGACGCAATTTCCTAATGTACATATTTATGCAGCTCACGTCAATAACAACGATAAAATATGCTGGTTGTTCGGTAAATGAATCTTTCAGCCACTCATCTAAAGATTGTTATTTATTAAATGGATCTTTCAGCCACTCATATATAGAATGTTATTTGTTAAATGGATCTTTCAGCCACTCATCTAAAGTTTTTTTGTTTTGTAAATGAGTCTTTCAGCCACTTATCTTAAGATTGTTCTATGGTGAATGAATCTTTCCTCCTGTCATCTAATGATGTTTGTTTTGTAAGTGAATCTTTCAACCACAAATCTAAATATTGCTCTTTGGTAAATGAATATTTTAGCCATTCATCTATATAATGTTATTTCTTAAATGGATATTTCACCCACTCATCTAAAGTTTTTTTGTTATGTAAATGAATCTTTCACCCACTCATCTGAAGATGGTTGTTTGGTAAATAAATCTTTCACCAACTCATCTGAAGATGGTTGTTTTGTAAATAAATCTTTCAGGCACTCATCTAAAGATTGTTGTTTGCCAAATGAATCTTTCATCCGCTCATCTCAAGCTTGTTGTTGTAAACTTTGAATTGATAATTAATTTAGAAATGTTAAAAGCAATCTCGCGAACTTTTGTAGCAGTACATATGCTTGGGGTTCTTAGTGAGACACACACGATTCCGGGAAACTGTTCCTATTTTGGATACATCACCTTTTTTTCTACGTCACAAAAAACTTTTTTATGCTCAGTAATTGCGTGCATTTTTGGTCACGTGACTGAATCACGTGAAAGGTTTATTTGAGGGTGTTTTGAAAGATTATAAAAAAAGAGGGATTAGATGATCTAGAAAAATTTGCTTTATCAACACTTTAAAATATTTCATGGCTCAGGCGATGAGATATTGACAAGAAACAAAACAACGACACAGATCAAAAAGAATATAAAATGATTAGAAGATAAAATTCATTATTTTTAAAAAAGCAGGAACGTGAATAAACTTACATGAAGAGGTAACGAAGTTAAAATGACATATTTCGCCGTATTTTGCTGTATTTTTCTCTCCACATACTTAAATATATGAGTAAATCGGATTAACGCAGTTTGTTTATAACGATGGATGTAAATGCTCAACTAATCCCATCAAAGAGATTTAGGAGGTAAGATAATCCATTCACGGGGAGTGAAGCATGCAGATGATATCTTATAATCGTCGCGGTTTTAACTGCTCGCCCATTGATGGCGGCCCCAAGACATATGCCATCGGGAGCTGCGTTAGTGTTAAAATTCTCGGCTTTATTTCTATGGTGGATATTTATAAGAGATCTGGGGTTTTATTGCATTGAACAATTCCAACTGCCTTATACATTTTTATCCTAACGCTCTTCACCGGGGCGGTCAATGCATATAAGCGATAATACAAGAACTGCGTATTTTGCGTCTCTTAGAGCCCTTGGTAATCTGGTAAAGGTGTAGACCCCAATGCGTAGTAAAGAGTAGCTGCTGACCCTATTGATGTTCTTTTGAAGATTTTTACCCACTATTACTCAGTGCTAATCTGTATTTTTAATCGAAAAACATAACAGATTAGATTGATAATTTTGTGAAACAATTTTAAAGGTTCACGGAGGACATTTTTTTGTCGACACTCGAGATCAGCTTCACGTTTAGTGAAGGGGAGTCGTGTGAGTGTATTAGGCCTTGACCTGTATCACATATAGTCAAAGGAGGGGGGAGGGGCTGTGTGGTCACATTAGGCCTTGTCTTTTATCAAGGATTTCGTCAATTGGGGGGGGGGAGGGAGTCGTGTGAGTGTATTAGGCCTTGACCTGTATCACATATAGTCAAAGGAGGGGGGAGGGGCTGTGTGGTCACATTAGGCCTTGACTTTTATCAAGGATTTCGTCAATTGGGGGGGGGGGTTCTGTGGGGTTTCAATAGGCCTAGATAAGTAATACCTGTTTACAGCATACATACCATCTTGAGATTGTTTATTATAAAATTTATTTCATTAAATCCCACGTTGTTATATGGTAAGGCTATGTATTCAGTAATGTCAGCATCATAAACAGGACACACAACCTAGTGGCTGGAGTTCAAGCCACATCAACACTCAGGTGTGTCAGCATCATAAACATGGCACACAACCTAGTGGCTGGAGTTCAAGCCACATCAACACTCAGGTGTGTCAGCATCATAAACATGGCACACAACCTAGTGGCTGGAGTTCAAGCCACATCAATTCTCAGACAAAAAATATTTAAACCGTATAGATAGCACCCGTCAATCTTCAATTAGAGTTTATATCAAAGCAGAAAAGATCCGATAGCATCCGTCCACTACCTTGATTGATGTCGTTAGCGTACGTCGCTACCTTGATTAATTTCGATAGCATACGTCCGCTACCTTGATTAATGTCTTTAGCATACGTCCGCTACATTGATTCATGTCTTTAGCATACGTCCGCTACATTGATTCATGTCGTTAACATACGTCCGCTACCTAAAGTTTTTAGCATACGTCCGCTAACTTGATTGAAGTCTTTAGCATACGTCCGCTGCTTAATTAAATTTTTTAGCATACGTCCGCTACCTTGATTGAAGTCTTTAGCGTACGTCCTCTACGTTGATTAAAGTTTTTAGCATGCGTCCGCTACGTTGATTAAAGTTTTTAGCATACGTCCGCTGCCTTGATTAGAGTCTAAGGGTGAAAAGCTGAAACAGGAAATCCCGGTGATGGATTGCGACATTGACCATATTTCATACCGGCAACTGCTAACTTATTTTGACCATTGGACGTGACCTTTGGTCTAGCAGACGAGTGAAGAAATCTTTGTACCCAGATGGCGTCTCGGAGATTAAGGTTTAACGTAAAGCCGCTTGCTCGTTCCCCGGGGGTAAAAAACGAACACTTCATTTGTTTCTTCTAAAGTAAACCATTTTAAGCGTTTGAAACAGTGATGAAAACACGATAAACTCCAACAGTTTATTGAAAAATAAGTATACAGCAATGTATTTAAAGATGGCATCAGGAAAAGCCAAGGTTGAAAGTGATTTTATTTCATGTTAGGTCAGCATTGGTCTAGTATCTGTTTCACATCAGCACGGGCTAACTTTTTAAAGACCTATGACCAGCTAGGTTAACTTCTTAATGATCAATAGAGAGTTAATTAACTTTTGGAAATTTTTATTGACCAGCGAAGATGTCGGTTAGTGGTTCCCACATTATTTTGGTCCCAAGCCCCACCTGAGCATCTAACGTGTTTCGGTGTCGTCGTCCCCACCATATCATATATATATATATATTTTTTTTTTTTTTTGTAGAGAAAAAGCTCAGAAATAATAATTAAACAAACCATAACAACAAAGTTTTTGCGCATGAATCCTTTATGAAATGTAGTGTTGAGCAATCGGAAAAAAAGTGTGTGGGGGGGGGGGGGNNNAAAAATCCCAAATAGCGCCCCCCCCCCCCCCCAAAAAAAAAGGTCGCAACCGCATTTTTTTTTCACGCCCCCCTGGATTATATTAATATTCTAATGACCAACACGCTTTTACACCGAAGATTTATTTCACCAACTATTTCAGAAAAACAAAAGAAAATATTGCGCACCAAAGGCACTTGCAATTAAAAAAAGAAAGAATCTGAATTAGCGCAGTTATCGGGAATTTTAGTTCATGAAATCAGAGCCATCATTTTTTCCTTCATCGTCCCCTTCAAAAACAGGAAAAAAAACTTATTGCTGGGGGCTGGGTTAGGGGTGTATGGCTGAAATTTTGAAAAAAATAAATTGTCTTGTCCTCGGCAATGACTCTGTATGACAAGTTTCAGCTCGATAGGTTGACAGAGGGTGGGTTAATTAGCCGTCCGAAGTTTTCTCCAGCCGGCCATGAACAAAAGTGAAGTTAATATAAAGGATTTAAAAAAATAAAACAAATTCCTGCATGTCCTCCGGCTGCCCTTTGATGTCCTCCGGCCAGCCTTTGAAAGTCTCCAGGTAACACAATTAATATGGGAAAGGGAAAATATACCAACACCGTACTCGTCCTCCGGCCGGCCTTTGAAAGTCTCCAGGTAACAACACAATTAATATGGGAAAGGGAAAATATACCAACACCGTACTCGTCCTCCGGCCGGCCTTTGAAAGTCTCCAGGTAACAACACAATTAATATGGGAAAGGGAAAATATACCAACACCGTACTCGATATTCTTTTTCTTTTTTTTTTCGGCATTGTAAGGAAACCACAAGTCCTGGAATTATGTTTAAGGTTAAATTCTGTTTCCCTAGTTGGACAAGGTTTGAATTAATTCCTTTTTTTACCGCACAGCCATCGCTCTAACTTTAAAATGTACGAATTCTAGTTGAGCAATGCCATTCCTGAATAGTCTAGTCAAATAAAAAAATAACTTTTTTTAAAAAGTAGATTTTAACCATACAAATTTTTAATGACTAATTTCATAATAAACATAGAAATAAATATTGATGTCATATGACCAACAGAATTTACCAAGGTCCAGGGCGGGGGGGGGGGGGGGGGTGGCATAAGAAAAGAAAAGATTTTATTAATTGAAATAAATGCAGGTTTCTTATTACATTGTACGTGTTCATGTTCAGTATATGAAGAAAAAAAACATTTTGATTAGCTTAAGATAATCATGGTTAAAATCAAAAGTGTAAGGTTAACAGCCAAGTAGAAAACAGACGAGGTAATGATCAGAAATAGAAAGCTGCACACAAAGCTCAGAATAGTTATTTCAAAACGTTGACGTTCTGCCGAGTTATAATGTTCTCACTGAGCGAGCAGACGTCTTCTTTCATTTTCAGATGTTGTAATCTTAAACATTGAAAATTATTTTCTGCGTCATACAAAAGTAGTTCAAGCTTCAATCATCGAATAAACCCAAGTTTCAACTTCTTACAAAAATAGTTCTAGCTTCATTCTTCAAATTAACCCCCAAGTTTCTACTCCTTATAAAAGTAGCTCTAGCTTCATTCTTTGAATGAACCCCCAAGTCTCCGCTTCATAAAAAAAGTGAAATATTTCCGACAATCAACTTTGATCCAACATCAAAATTCAGTACGTCCTTCTCGGTCCCCAACAGTTTTTCTAGTGGTCAATGCTCCTGTTTATAAACCGCTATCACAAATTACCCGGAAAAAATGTGCTCCCTAATTAAACAACTCATTACAAACAAATGTGTCCCTATAAATCCTCTATAAAATGTACTCTTGAAATGTCATCGGCATCGAGTCTGTGTGCCAAGTTGCAGCTGGATAGCTTGATGGAAAGTGGGCCAATGAGCCATCCGAAGATTTTGTCACCTCGCCAGTGAGTTAACCCACTAACAAAAGTGAATTTAATATAAATCATTTATTAATAATGATTCTTCATTTTTTTTTGTTTTCAAGATGCCAAAACCTGAAAAGTTTTTGCAAGCGAAACCCTTGGAGTGTTTAATTTTTTTTAATGTAGATTATACAATTTATATTAAAAAATGTGTACGGCAGTGCAGTCAACAAAAGCATTACACTATACAGTTGAAAAATTCCAATCAGTGCACAAAAAACAAAGGAAAATGTAAGATGTGTGTTTGGGTCACTAAGTGGTTGGACTTGTTTAATATTTATAATATTTGATGATTAATTAAGTATATTATCTTAATACTTGCATGTCTATTTTTTTTTTTTTTAATTTAAAAAAGTTTGAGCCTGAAACGTGAATATAATGTAAGATAATTTTATTGCTAATAAACGTTGACGTCTTTAAGACATTTTGTAGCAGGCTACATGCGGTTTCAAAACTCTGGCAAGGTTTAATTATCTATGGCCAGCCAATTGAAACTGGGTGAAAAGTAAGAGTTTGAGCAGCTGTAGGTGAATGACGTGTTTTTTACGCTGTTCAGAGATACAGAGAATGAAGCAGAGAAGGAGGCACCATAGTTTACATTTCCACTGACCGTCCCAGACACACTTGTGTATGCTAAAGATATGATCACTATGGGGGGAACCTTGAAAGGTTTGGGGAACTGAATTTCGTTTGAGCTCATACAGGAAAGCGTTCCCTTTTGGATATTTTGCCCCTTGACTCCTCCTAATCTGTTCTCCAAATTGGTTGTGTTGGCAGACGTGGCATTTAAGTCTTGTCTTAGTGCATCATTCTCTTCATCCAGGGTGATGATCTTCTCCTTCAGAGCGGTGATGGCTTTCTCGTTAATAGAAATGTAATCCACGAGGTCAGAAATTTTGGGCTCCACTGCGACGATTTCTAGTGACGCTTTCAGCGACTCCGGATGTTTGTCTGACCTCAGCCCGTAGGCCTCACAGGTGAAGTTTCCGGCATGTCGGTCCACGGGTCTGTCCCAAGTCAGGAGAAGATAACCCATTTCACCGTCTTTGTCGGATCCTTCGCTGCTGCCCTCCACTTCAACTGTTGATAAAAACTTATCTTCTGTGATGGGGACATCACATCCGGTGACACTCGCGACCGTCTCGCGCATTTCAGTTTCGTCATTGAACTTAGTGATGACGACGGACAGAAGCCGCACGAAACTGCCTTTAGATGCCGTGGATGTGTGCGCAATTTTTGGTGCTAAGGCTGAAACGTCAAAATTGACGCCGTGGTTTCCACTACCGTATTTTGGTGGCTGTGTTGACGTATTCGAATTGAAAGGAAATTTCCCCACATTTTTGGCTAGCCAGCCCTCGTTTTTGACCGAACACCTGAGCTGAAGTTTCTTGGTCAACACTGGGTGTATGAGAGAGGGTCTTGCATCGATTGTTAGGACTGTGTCTATAAATAGAAATAAAACCTTTATCTAAGTAGATGTTTAAAATAATTTTAGAAAATTAATTTACGGTAAAATAGTGTGATTATTCGTTGGTTTCCACTTTTTTTCCTCATTTAAGCAAAAATTTCTTATTAATCTTTTTTTTTTTTTTTTTTTAAATGGGAAGGCCTCTTCTTAAGTTAAAATACACAATTAAACAACATGAAGAATACTTTTTCCACAGTTGTTCTATTTTATAAGATGAAAGTTAAAAAAATCAGGCTCTACAATTACATCATTATATAAGGAAATACTTAGCGAAAGGCAGGCGAAAACATAAACAAAGACAAAAGGAAACAATGGACATGTTAACAAGCTGCTCAACAGACGTATATAGTAGCAATCTTTTTTGGGGACTCTCTTGACCATTAATTCTTGATAAATGAACGACTGCCTGCAAGCTGTGTGAAGGAAATAGAAGAAGAAGGTATATGGAAGCTTGAAATAGAAAGACAGGACGCTAAAAGAAGAACGATCCGGTTAAAAGCCCTCCTCAGCAGACAGGATGAATGAAAAATCTAGGTTTCGGAAAAAAAGCCAACGTTGGACAATAACAATAACGTCCAACATTTAAGTGTTTGAAAAACTTTCCAATGCTTGTGGTTTCTTCATTTGTCCTATCTGCTTTGGAAGGCTCTTAGCCGAAACGTTCTTACTTTTATCGTCCAGCGTTTCTCCTTCAAGCCTCCAGATACCTTATTCCACTATTTCTCTGCTTCAAGCCTCCAGATACCTTATTCCACTATTTCTCTGCTTCAAGCCTTCAGATACCTTATTCCACTATTTCTCTGCTTCAAGCCTTCAGATACCTTATTCCACTATTTCTCTGCTTCAAGCCTCCAGATACCTTATTCCACTATTTCTCTGCTTCAAGCCTTCAGACACCTTATTCCACTATTTCTCTGCTTCAAGCCTCCAGATACCTTATTCCACTATTTCTCTGCTTCAAGCCTCCAGATACCTTATTCCACTATTTCTCTGCTTCAAGCCTCCAGATACCTTATTCCACTATTTCTCTGCTTCAAGCCTCCAGATACCTTATTCCACTATTTCTCTGCTTCAAGCCTCCAGATACCTTATTCCACTATTTCTCTGCTTCAAGCCTTCAGATACCTTATTCCACTATTTCTCTGATTCAAGCCTTCAGATACATTATTCCATTATTTCTTTCAATTCTTGTGGGCCCGGTACAATAAAGAAACATAACCAAAAAAATAAATAAATAAAAATCAAACAAAATGTATTAGTTTTTCACCCAGTCATTCTATATCTTAACACTGTTCTTTTTTTTTTTCAAAATAAATTTTCTTCAAATTCTATTTGCCCATTATTATGCAGTGCACATACTTACCAGCAGAATCACCAGTTTCCATGAGACTAAACAAAGCCAAAACACAAATAACCCAGGATGCTGACATCTTCCAACTAGCTCACAGACTGACAAGCTAACTCCAGACTCGCCCTGTTCCCACCTTAATTTGTCGGGGAAACTTTGCCCTGCCACGTTTTGAAACCACTTGAACAAAACTGAAACTAAGATGAATGGAACGTGAGGCGTTCTCGGAAAAAAAAAAAACACTCTAAAATTGAAACAGAGTGCCGGTGAGCATCCCCAAGTAGTAACTTGACCTATTTTAAAAACTGGAAAAAGAAGAACGTGTATTGAGTTGTCTAGTGTTCGTTTCATTTTTGTGAGATATGTTATGATGATAATTATAATTCTTTTGGATTTAGGGGGCTCCCTGGGGAAGAATTTCTCTAGTTGTTATTTTCAATGGATGAGCAATACTGTTAAAGTCTAGGCTCACCAATGATCCCAGTTTTACGGGGACCGCCTCGATCTAGAGCAATACTGTTAAAGTCTAGGCTCACCAATGATCCCAGTTTTACGGGGACCGCCTCGATCTAGAGCAATACTGTTAAAGTCTCGGCTCCCCAATGATCCCAGTTTTACAGGGACCGCCTCGATCTAGAGCAATACTGTTAAAGTCTAGGCTCCCCAATGATCCCAGTTTTACAGGGACCGCCTCGATCTAGGGCAATACTGTTTAAGTCTAGGCTCACCAATAATCCCAGTTTTATAAGGACCACCTCGATCTAGAGCAATACTGTTTAAGTCTAGGCTCACCAATAATCCCAGTTTTACAGGGACCGCCTCGATCTAGAGCAATACTGTTAAAGTCTAGGCTCACCAATGATCCCAGTTTTATAGGGACCACCTCGATCTAGAGCAAAACTGTTTAAGTCTAGGCTCATCAATAATCCCAGTTTTACAGGGACCGCCTCGATCTAGAGCAATACTGTTTAAGTCTAGGCTCACCAATAATCCCAGTTTTATAGGGACCACCTCGATCTAGAGCAATACTGTTTAAGTCTAGGCTCACCAATAATCCCAGTTTTACAGGGACCGCCTCGATCTAGAGCAATACTGTTAAAGTCTAGGCTCACCAATGATCCTAGTTTTACAGGGACCGCTTGGAGCAGGGGTCTCCAAACTACGGCCCGCGGGCCGCATGCGACCCGCGAGGCCCTCTCATGCGGCCCGCGGAGACCTTTTTGTCTACAGAAAAAAAAATACGGAAATTTACGTGTATCCTGCCAAAATCAGACGCCGCTTATGTGGACGTTATGTTTTTACCGAATTAAAATAGAGGCGCGCAGTAGTGCGTTATGTTTTCTGACCGGTCATTATTTTGCGAAACCTTATTCACTGTTTAGTTGTTTTACTTCCGTTTTCATTCAATGAAATGAGAATATATAACGCTTTGCCCACGGTGTTGCAGACATGGGTGAAAACATTGTGACTAAAATAGTGAAAAATGCAATCACGTTTTGCCAATTTTTAATTGCAATGGATGAATCGCTGGACAGCTGTTCCACCTCTCAACTGCTTGTGTTCGTTAGAGGGATGTGGATGAAGACATGAACATGACACAAGAGCTGGCCTCCCCCCACAGCATGTACGGCACTGTTACCGGAGAGGATATATTCAATGAGTTGAAAAAAAATATTTGCTGATTATAACTTGGATTGGACTAACCTCAAGCGCCTGACTGTTGACTGAGGAAATATCATGAGTGGCATAAAGAAAGGCTTGGTTGCACAAGTGAAGCAGTTGTGTAATGAGAAACAAAATTCTGCAACCAATGTTCCTGCACTGTATTATTAACTAGAAAGCTTTGTGTGCTAAATATGTGGACATTAGCAGTGTACTGAATCCTTTGGTGAAGATAGTTAATGTAATAAGGTCACATGGGCTCAACCATAGTCAGTTCAGAGACCTTTCGAAAGATACCGACACGAAATCGCAAAATTTACCATACTACACAGCTATAAGATGGCTAAATTGTGAGAAAGTTCTGAGCAGAGTTTTGAAGTTAACAAAGGAAATAGGTTACCTCCTGGAAAGTAAAGGCAAGCCACAGGCATTACTGTCTGAGGAAGAGTGGGAATGGAAAATGGCCTTTGCTGCAGACATAACTAGTAATTTAAATGTTCTGAACCTAAAACTACAAGGAGAGGAAAATCTAGTGTCTGATCTGTACACCTACCTGTAGGCCTTTAGATCTAAATTCGCCTTGTTTTTTGGAACAAGTATAGGCTAACAACTTGACGCACTTTCAGCAGTGGAGGGTCTTCATGGCAGAGGCAACAGTGGAGTTTCCCTCGTCATTTGCGTGCGAGACCATAAAATACCCCAGCTGTTTCAGCAGCGGTTTTCTGACTTGGATTTAAAGGCAGAAGAAGTGAGACTTTTTCAAAACTCATTTGAAGCAGATGTGGCATATCGCCCAGATGAACTGCACCTGGAGGTCATTGAGTTGCAAGCAAAATACCTCCTTAAGGACAAGTTCAAAGAAGGACTGGTGGGATTTTACCAGTTTTCGCCCAAGGAAGACTTTCCTTATTTCAAAACTTTTGCATCAAGGTACCTTTCAATCTTTGGAACAACATACCTGTGTGAACAAACATTTTCAAGAACGAAATACCTGGAGAACAATTTGAGAACAAATTTGTCCGATGATGATCTCAGGTCACAGTTGATGTTAGGGACATCAAATCTAAGTCCAGAAATGTCTGCTAATCACTGTGCTATTTTGGCATCCGGAAAACAATTTCACCATTCCTAAATTTGTCATAGGTGCCCGGAGTCGATCAATTTTAGGAACCACTGGGATAACCGGGAGGGAAAGATACGTCTCACCCCCATGGAACATACTGTGGTGAATATATCTGTAATACCGCTAATACTGGGTGCTATTTGAGCGACATCAAGTGAGGTCATGTGTGCGTCCCCAGGAACGGACAAGGGTTCAGAATTTAGGATGAAAATGCGTCATCCCGACCCTTGGGGAAAGTCAATTGCTGGTGTTGAGAGATCAACATTATCCACCGAGTGGATGTCCTTAGGCTGAGATGGACCCTGTCCTTAGGCTGAGATGGCCCCTGTTAGGCTGAGATGGTCCAAGCTCTTAGGCTGAGACGGTCCAAGTCCTTAGGCTGAGATGGTCCCTGTCCTTAGGCTGAGATGGGCCCTGTAAAGCTAGTCGATCGAGTGATGTTACGTGCTTGGCCGTCTTAGCAGGAGGAGACTAACACCCCCTACCCCTTGAGGCACGTCAAATCTCATTCCTTCCATACCCCGTCTAAGTTTACCAGGGAAGTGTTTTTGGGTCTGTTGACTAAATTGGAAAACTTATTCTGAGCAAAAAAATTGAATTCGTTTTTTTTTTTAAATACCCCCCATAAATATATCAATCTGTCAGTGGTGCAGGAATGTGGGTGTGAAGGTGGGACTTTTTTTCTGTGTATAGAGGGGCGGCATTTTCGGCCAACTGCTGAGGTTTTATTTTTCGTAGAAGAGGGGTTGCAAAAATCGTTTGCCTATATCCGGGTGGCAATAACCCTAGCGACGCCACTGCAACCTTTCTTAAAGATAGGAATGTGCTGTTTACACATTGTTTTGTGTATATATCAGTAACATCTTTAATTCCATTAACCGTGCCAACTATATTATTTTTAAATGTCTGCGCAGCTGATGATCGATAGGTTTACAGAATATGCGTAGTTAAAATGAAATGCTCAGTGCTTATTCTTTCAAGCGGTTTAGCATTTTCTGCACTGCACAGGTTTAGAACTTCTGCACTGTACAGGTTTAGCATTTTCTGCACTGTACAGGTTTAGAACTTCTGCATTGTACAGTTTTAGCATTTTCTGCACTGTACAGGTTTAGCATTTTCTGCACTGTACAGGTTTAGCATTTTCTGCACTGTACAGGTTTAGCATTTTCTGCACTGTACAGGTTTAGCATTTTCTGCACTGTACAGGTTTAGCATTTTCTGCACTGTACAGGTTTAGCATTTTCTGCACTGTACAGGTTTAGCATTTTCTGCACTGTACAGGTTTAGCATTTTCTGCACTGTACAGGTTTAGCATTTTCTGCACTGTACAGGTTTAGCATTTTCTGCACTGTACAGGTTTAGCATTTTCTGCATTGCAACTTTTTTTTTTGGTTCTCAAAAAACCTTGGGTTCAGTCTTATGACATTTTTGGATTAGTTTGATTGATTTTTCATTGTAATTTTTAATGAGTTAATTTTTATGTGATTTTTTTCCGTTAGAATGCATAAAAAAGCAAAATGTAATGATCTAAAGTTCAGTTGCTTTGTTTAATGCGATTAAAGAAGTGTAATGATGAAAGCTTCGTTTGAAACACGGACAGGTGTCAATGAATGGTTACAACTTCAGGATGCCATTAATGGTAACATCTTCTAGGTGTCGATGGTAACATCTTCTAGGTGTCGATGAATGGTTACATCTTCAAGATGCCATTAATGGTAACATCTTCAAGGTGTCGATGAATGGTTACATCTTCAAGATGCCATTAATGGTAACATCTTCAAGGTGTCGATGAAGGGTTAAATCTTCAAGATGCAATTAATGGTTACATCTTCAAGGTGTTGATAAATGGTTACATCTTCAAGATGTCATTAATGGTAACATCGTCAAGGTGTTGATGAATGGTTACATCTTCAAGATGCCATTAATGGTAACATCTTCAAGGTGTTGATGAATGGTTACATCTTCAAGATGCTATTAATGGTTACATCTTCAAGGTGTTGATGAATGGTTACATCTTCAAGGTGTCGATGAATGGTTACATCTTCAAGATGCTATTAATGGTTACATCTTCAAGGTGTTGATGAATGGTTACATCTTCAAGATGGTATTAATGGTTACATCTGCAAGGTGTTGATGAATGGTTACATCTTCAAGATGCTATTAATGGTACCATCTTCAAGGTGTTGATGAATGGTTAAATCTTCAAGATGCCATTAATGGTAACATCTTATAGGTGCCATTAATGGTAACATCTTCTAGGTGTCGATGAATGGTTACATCTTCAAGATGCCATTAATGGTAACATCTTCTAAATGTCGATGAAGGGTTACATCTTCAAGATGCCATTAATGGTAACATCTTCTAGGTGTCGATGAAGGGTTAAATCTTCAAGATGCTATTAATGGTTACATCTT